ATTAATACTTAAGTGAATTTATTCACTCTAAAACTCCATAGTGATCATCTGTCACTATGGGAGCAATAATGAAATAAGACTAATATGAAATAGGATGGTTGATAAAGCATTGTAACCGGTTGTATAGATAGTTACTAGAGAGTAAGTATTGGAGTGGCCCGTTTAAGATCACTTCATGGATCGATGTTATGAATGGTACTTGATAAAAGGTAATATTTGTATATCCTTAACACCTGAGATACATATTTGGGACTTGAGTATGGGAATGTTATGCTTTGATGTAGCCAAAAGCTGTTCTTTTGTTAGGCATTTATAAAAGCTATTATCAGGCGTGATGTAAACCATGCAAGAGGCGTATGTAGTCAAGATGGGATTTGCACCTCTTATTCGTTGAGAGTTAGACATCTAAGGCCTCATGCAAAGTTGAAAACCTATATGAGATTGACTACGATCTATAACTCATGATTCAACATGATGACTGTAGCAAATGGATAACCGATAAACTTACCTTACTCACCAATTGTAGCCTTGGGGATTTTAGGGAATTGGGCGTTGATGGAATGACACTATATCATATGTTGTTGGGGGCAGTGAAATGTTGCTAGACGTTCACCATTGTCCATATCAGTTTGATATGAGTCTTGCGCAAGTGGGAGATTGAAAGATCTAGTATGCTCAAGAGGCATATTAAAATGATATTGCTAAATAACATATGATCCTAAGGGTCACACTAACAACAACTTGATACAAATGATTATTTATTAGAAATTGATTTTAATAAATATTCATAAACTCTTATAATAATTGGGAAAATATTTATTTTAAGTAATGATGTGTGTGAAACGAACTAGTTTTAATCCTACTAACTTAGACACAAAATAAACACACGAAAGGTAGTGTACCTATCGATTAGTAATATAGTTCAAGCAAGTAGGGTATCGAACACAGGGAACGGGAAACAATTAAAATAAATGCTAATATTATCTAAATAAAACAAATAACAAAAGGGGGTTTTCTCTAGTTTTACAAGACTAGAAACTTAATTAGAATAACCAACACACAAATTAACTAACTAGCAACTAAAACAATTAATTACCAACTAAATTCAATAGTAAAGATGACTTCTGTTTAGGTACGACTCATTTGTTCCCATGGATGATTTTAATGTATCAGATTAATTCTTCATTGGCTACCGATTAAGATAATTAGGTTCATGTTCGCTATTCCTAATTCTTAGAAAACAAATTAACTCAAGCAATGGCCAGTTGTCTAAATTAACGGGTTTCCTAGATTATTGATTCGGGTTAAGTAAGACTTGTAGTGGTTAAATAAATTGGCCCTTCAATTAACCTCTTGTCGATGTTCATCCAACAAGCTTACACATTAACTTACCTATCTTCTAGTTAATTCTAGTTTCACGTTCGTTATTCCTAGACATACAACTATGTGGTCACAATAAATCATATGAAATTAATAACTAAGAGATTTTCATACAACTTAATTACTGATTTATTAATAGAAGAATAGTTATTGTCAACACATAAGGTTCTTTAACAAGCTTAACAAAACATAATTACCAATCAAAATTAATCCTACTCAAATAATCAATCCATGTTCACAAAATTGTCTACCCTAACAGAAGAATACATTTTTAGCTCATGATTTCAGTAAACATAAACTCAAAAACGAAATCAAAGTATGTAAACATGATTCAAATCAAAAAGTTACTAAGAATAAACCAAAATTGTCTTGATTCTCTTCACAATTGAATGTAGGGTTGATTCTTCAGTTCCTCACGACCTAGCAGCACTTCCAATCGTTTCTCAGCCTCCTAGGGTTTCTCTCCATGCTATGATATCGATCTGAAAGTCCCTTTATATAGATTTTCACAAAACAGAGGCTACTCGGCGAGTCCAATGACCTACTCGGCGAGTCCGTCACTTAAAACCCGTGTACGGAAAGTCAGCGCGTCCAGAATCGCGAAAATTCGATACAACTCGCCGAGTAATAGACCCTACTCGCCGAGTACGTTTCGAATCAGCATTTTCTCAAAACACGAAAGTCGTCCGAAATTGTGTCTACTTTTCAGAACATTTTGAATCTCGTCAATCGGAGTTACGGTTCATGAGATATGGCCAAAACACTGACGAAAGGTCAAGCTGTCCGGCAACATCCTTCTTTCTTCAAAATCCAAGATCCAAGCGTCCAATCGCTAGTTCCGCTTCCTTTTCCATCCGAGCATGTCATCATTGTTGAAAAATTAAATTCTAAACTAATTAAGCACCTTTTTTTCATTAAATGAGACAAAAACAACATAAAGTATTAAGATAATGCATGAAGTTTATAACTAAATATGCTCATATCAAGTAACTATTTGTTTTACAATACAAGTAACAAATTATTTCATATGGTATGAATATAATATGTCATGTACATCTTTTTGGACCTAATAAACCTTTTGTCTTTTAGCAAAATGACAAAGTTTATATCTTATAAACTTTGAGTTTAAAAAATATAAACTTTTGACTTGTCTTTTCTTCTTGGAAACATGAGATGAAGAGAAAAGACATTTGCATTGGTATAATGCAAATGAATCAAACCTAGGAAGATGTACTCACGACATAGGGGATAAAGTTGTCTAATGGTTAATAACTCTTGGACCATAATTCCATTATAAATAAGAGGTGAGTGCTCTCATTTTTCTTCACTCCATTCTCCTTGGCCGAGAGATCTTTCTTCTTCCCCATATTTTCTCTAAAGTCTTGAAAATTGAAGTTTTTGTTGCTTGCATTCTCTCTTTAAGTCATAATCTTGTTTTAGCTTAAAAGCTTAGAGTTGTAGCTATCATTACATCAAGTTGGCACATTGTTGGTGTCTCAAGGGTTCATCCTCACTCCATCAACTTCCAAGCCTCTCCTAGAGGACTCGAAGTTCTTCAAAGCTTGTTACCACTTCTTTCTTCTATGGTCATGTTTTAAATATTTCCTTTACTTGCAAGATGATCCTTGGTGGTTGATAAAATGTTTATGTTATTTTATAAAATTCAAGTCTTCTGTTTGCCATTATTTGTAGTTTTTGAAACTAGTTTTTTAAATAAAACCCAATATGTCAATTCGTGTGAACTTTTTCCTGACAATATTTCGTCGGCACAAGGTTTAAACCTGAATGGATTATCAGTCTTAGAGTTCATTTGTAGCGCTTCACCCTACCTTTCTCTCTCGATCTCTCAACAACGATTGACGTTGTCCAACCACCCCTCCGTCCGATTTCACCGGTATTTTCTTCCCTCCTATTTATGTTTGTTAATTTCATAGATTTTGAGGTTTTTATGTTTCAATTTCTAAAAAAATCCAGCCACCAGAGTCTCTCTACATACCTCTTCTACGATGTGATTTAACTGCCATTCACCGGTATTTTGCTTCCCTTCGTCATACCTTTGTTGATTTGACATATATTAGCCAAATATTTGAGTTTGATGTGTTTCAATTTGTAGAATCCAGCCTCTAGTCTTCGACGACCCTACCACTCATGTCCAGCCACCACTAAAGGCCAATAGGTAAACATATACACATAATGTACCTCTATCTCATATTTTTCTAAATTTAATTGCCATTTTTAGTGTTTGATTTTTTTTTTCTGATTTGGTACTATTTTCCGATGAGTAAACCACCGTAGACACCAGACTTCAGATTTTGAGTGTTTTTCCGGTGGCCTATCATGATGACATGTTGTTTGAATTAGTATATAATAAAACTTTTTCTTTTTTCCTCGAAAATCACTTCTGACTTTTTCATGCTACTCAAACCAGAAACATTTGATAGTAAAACATCCATCGATCTTTCTCCAATCGTCCCGATTCTTCTCTCGATCTCTACTTTTTCACATTGATTATTTCTAGAGAAACTAAAGCAAATTCAACACCTGCTTTGTAAAATTTTACCATATCTGAAATTGTTAAACCGAAATGACCCTTCACCTTTTTTTAGTTTTAGTCATCTCTTCCCCGTCTCCTCCCAAACGACGACCAATATTACTAAAGAAAATTACCAAGATCTTACTACACTCAGACACTCTCCAAGCCTCTCACACTAATTTTTGTCGCTACTATCTGTATGTTCCTTTCCCAAGGTCGATGGAGTAGATTACCGAAGCTTCCATCTTCTCCTGAGATTAATCACCATCTCATATTCTCTGTGACCTCTGTCAGCTCTGTCTGCATCTTTCTCTCTCTCTCTCTCTCTCTCTCTCTCTATCTATCTATCTATCTATCTCTCTCTCTACGATTTCAAAATAGAGAGAAAACATACACCGCGTTGTTCACCCCCAAAATGGAAGACACATGAGTAAATTAACAAAAAGTACATAACCTTAAATTTGAAATTCCGTATATATAAAAGGGAAATAAATTCCTTTACCTGAACACAAAAGTCACTTTTCATTTTTCTTTTTTCACAATTTAACCTAAGTTACTTGTTATTGTTTGCATCCCGTCTCCAACATCTGGTTACCACTTCTATAACCGGTTACTAACCAAGCCTTCATTAACACACACCTTCGTTAAATTAGGGTTTTTACTGTCACTGGTTTGAGTTATTGATATCTTAATCGATGAGTGTTTTTATTGAGAGGAATCAACTAAGCAATCCTTTTACAATAGGGTTTTTGTTAGGATGAAAATCCTTGTAGATTGAAAAGATTTGAACTGGTATAACAAGAACACGATATTAATCAAACAAGATCTGAATGATTAAAATGTCACGCATGAGAAGAACTCGATAAAGAATTGCTACTATAGAGGCGTGATTAGGGTTACAATAGATAAAATCAGAGTTTACTACAATAAAATGCATGCATGCACCTTCAATACTCTAACCCTAGTAATATTAACGAGTGGACGGGCCCAACTCGATAATACAAATTAGACTATATAAACAAGCCTAATGACGCAATACTAAATACTCAACAATCTCCCCCTTTGCGTCAATTGAGACCATAACCCATTAGTTGGTGATTCGCTTCTGCACTTCGTATATTTTTGGCATGAAACACAACAACAACTTGCGAACCTGGATATACCACACAATCATATCTGAGAAGCATTTAACATCATCCTTGTGGTTTCCCTTGAACTTCGTAACCAGGTCCAATATAAATTCCAGACACGAAGTAGTATACAAATGTTTGTCTTCTAGATGGAAATGAGATTTGCGACATTCTACTCCAGGTCGATCTCTTGACGTGTATACTACGAACCATCCTTCCTTGTATATTTTTCCTGGCTTTAACTTTTCGTAGTCTTTCAGAGTTTCCTTTGGAACAACGTTTGGCTTCTGCCTCAAAACTGCGGCAATATCCACATCCATCAATCCAACTTCCCGAATATTAGACTTGATCATAAGTTGGAGATGGGACATCACAAGTCCGTACTTCTCTTTCTCTCGCAACAACATGTTGTAAAGTACCATCCAGTCATGGGGATTTAAACAAGGCAGGTCTGCGAGGGTGAACTCGTAGGTTTGACAAGTTGATCCTCTCGCAACCTTGAACTTCGCATTAGGGAAGCTTTCAGATTTGATAGGCCCAATAACCTTCACAACGACAATCTTGTGTGTAATCCAAGTTTCATAGTGGGGCTTCATGTGCTTTAAGTAGAAGGCTTAACTCCTAGATTGACTCTTGTTACTCATTATGCTCATGGATTCATTAACTTCAAGATGATTCTTTTACTCGAATGATTATGTAATCCCTTTTATCAAGTGAAAACTTTCCGGCAACAGCAAATGGTCAGAATTGTAATATCAACATTTCAGCATGGAGTGTCTGTTAGGAAGTAAGAGAGGTATTAGAATTTTGGATTTCATGCAAAGTAGTAAGGAGGTAGTAAGGAGAGATTTTGAGTACAAAATCTAATTTAAGTGGGGAGATTTATAACACCATGGTTTCTAGTTTTTGTTTTTTTGGTCCAAACGCCATGTGTTTGGCATAGATCGCTCAGTGTTCAAATGTTAGGCGTTCTATGATGGACGCTAGGCATTTGCACGCAGAGACTAAACCCTAATTTTTAGGGTTTGCATCCTATTTAAAGAACTTTATGGCATCGAAAACCCTAAGTGTGTAAGAGAGTTTAAGGCCTTAGTTCATCTTTTTGGTATCATTTAGTGTTCTTCATAAGAGAAGGAAGATCTTTGGAGTATTATGGTTACTCTCTAGCTTTTGGATCTGGACTCTTGACATCTTGGAGCATCATTTTGTGGTATAATTTCTAAACTTGATCATCATATATCTAGATCTTGTTTATGTTAGAAATTTATGCTTATTAGCCCCATTTTCTTGGATTTTGGGTAGGAGCTACCTTAGACCAAAGCAGTTCTCCTTTTGGACGTTTTAGGGTAGATTAAGTGATAAAAGTGTGATCTTGGACCTTCCTTTCACTCCATGCGAGTTTTGAGGTGTCTTAATTGGTTAAGGAGTTGGAGTTTTAGATTTTTGGCTCATTGTAACCATGCCTAAGTTTGCAACTTTATGGCTTTCGATGCTCTATTAGCTATGAATCTAAAGTTTGGATATGATATCTTAAGCCAATAAGTCATTGATTGGAAGTTAGTGATCAACAAGCAAACGTCGAGTGTTTGCATGTGAATTCTCGGTGTTCGGACACCAGGCATCGTAGGGAGGAACGTCATGCGTTCTATGCAGAAGTCTAATGGGTCGATTTTGGGCCTTGGGCCATTAGGGGTTTTGAGCTTAGTCTAGTTAGCCTTGTATAAAAAGGGAAAAATTATCTTTTGCCATTATCTTGATGAGGAATGGACTAGACCATGAGTTTGGGTTAAACCCTAGTTATTGATTGTGTTTGTTTCTGGTTTTGGTTTAGTGTGTGGAGTAGTGTTCAGTGAGGATCAAGTTTTGTTTCATTTATCATCAGTAGAGGCAAGTCTCCTCATTGTTCTTGTGGGTCGAAGGCACCAATGTTGGCCCACTAGGTTTTGATATGTTAGATGTATTTGTGACTCTTGTATGGAATGTCAGGCTAGGCTCATTTGTATGCTCGGCTATTCTCATTGTATGATGGGCTAGGCCATTTTGTATGTAGGGCTAGGCCCATGGATCAGGAAGGGCTAGGCACATTATGTTATGTAGGTGCTAATTGTTTTTGTGACTTTTGCATTTCTATGATTGGGCAAGGTCCATCATGGTGGGATGGGCCCAATATGCGGGTTGGGACCAACGTGAGGGATAGGCCTAATGGTATGTGTGGTATGTGGTATCTTGGGGAACTCACTAAGCTTTATGCTTATGGTTTTTATGGTTATGGTTTCAGGTACGTTCGGTTCAAAAAGGAAGGGCCCAACGTGATCGCAGTGCATCCACCTATGTTTCTGCATTATTATGACTTTGGGATTGTACTTTGATAAGTGTTTTCTTGTAAAGTAGCTTTGAATATTTAGAAAAAGGATAATGAATGTTTGTATTAAAGTTAATTAAAGTTCATTTTTACATCATATTTTTTTGGGACATTACACTTGTGGATTGATCTTGTTGGAATCAAAAAAATTGTTTACAACAACAAATCAGAGCATGTAATTCTATGTAAAATTTGATTTCCATCAGGGTTTAGAACTTCTGTTGTTCAATAGTATGTTGTTTCAATAATGTTATGACATAGATCAAAGTAGGTTGCATGTACCCTTAATAGTATAAGAATTTTACTGCATTGTTACATGTAAAACCCATCAAATTTTTAATGGAAACTTTCTGGATCCAAATGGATTCTTGTCACTTCGGATGATGTAGCATTTGACTACCAAAGCTTCATCTTTAGATTCATCAGAAAAGTCATTGTCACTATTTGGGAGCGACTTCTTTGAGTAAAGGGCCACAGATCCGTCCTTGTGAGTGTCTTGCATAACTCCTTGTGTAAAATCTTTGTTTCCTCGTGATTACAAAGATTTCCAAACAATGAAGACAGATCTATGGTTGCGATCTTCTTACTAGTCTATAAAACATCAACATGATGTTCCCACCTATCATTCAGCAAGTCATGAAACTTGAACACCAAGGAGTTTGTTGAGACGATGCATATCGCTCACCAAGAAAATAAAGCGATTGAAGACTTGAGTAAGAGATTCATTTTTCTTCTTGAAAAAGTGCTCATACCATCAATTTCGATTGTTTTTTGACAACCTTAACTTCATCGGTTCCTTCATACGCTACAATTAGCGTATCCATCATCTCGTTGATAGATCTACAATTTTGGACAAAATGGTAGATGTTATAGGCAATTGTGTTTCCTATGGCATCACGAGCTTTGACATCAAGAGAAACCAGGTGCTTCTCACCTGTAGTGAATTCTTGAGTAGGTTTTTCGACCTCATCACCATCCTTAACATTTTCCTTCATGGGATGATACATAGGAGCATGAGGACTGTGCCTGATAATATCTATCATGGAGTAGTCTATGGTTTCAAGGACCATCATGACTTTTGACTTCCATATGTTGAAGTTCTTTTCATTGAACCATAGGATTTTGTGACCAGAAGTGGTTTTAGATACATTGTATGAAGAATAAGACATATTCAATAGTGAACTGCTCTGATACCAGTTGTGACATCCATGGTCGAGATCGATTAACATAAAATACAAAGAATAATGGTTTATCACAAAGGTTTTTTACTAAGAAAGTTCACAACAAATGAACAAGCACAAATCTAGGGTTCGTGAATACACACATTACACGAACCCTAAATACATGGTTTTATATTAAAATCTAGTTGGTGTAAATCCCTAAAAATTAAGGATTTCACCTAATCTATGTAAATACAAAGGAAATCTGATATCCCTATGATATCGAATCTGCTAACTAACTAAATATACAAACATAAAAAAAACATCATCACGTTAACATTGGCAATGTTTATTAAGTCTTGATGCTGGAACTGGTAAGACGTTGGCTCTAATTGAAGTCATCATGACCTGGTTTTACTTTATCAGATTCTAAGGTTTGACCGTACATATACATATGGGGTTTTGTTTACGAAATCAGTTGTGCATTGGTGTGATCCAACAATATCTATAACTCGTAGTCATAAAGGGTATTTCCATGTATAATTAGATGAGTAGAAAATACCTACGCAGTAAAAGTTTGTTTTTGCATTCTTGTAACTAGGAAGTGATACATATGGGCCCTTTAATGATTTACTGCTGACATCTGAAATGTGTGGCTAAGCCCTGCTAAATTGATGTGTTTGATTTCATTGTTAAATGTAATGTAATAAATTGTTAATCGGGAAACAGAATGTTGAGCATTGAGATTGACCCATATCCATGCTCAAGTTAATAGAGATATCTAGAACAAAGTAATAAGTTGATCACTTTCCTAAGGATCAAATTTGAATCACAATTTGGCAATTACATTGGATGACTACTCTCTGTTGATTGTTAGTGAAATATTTTGATTCTGAAAAGTTAACGAGTTGTCCAAGTGGGAGACTATTGGAAATGGTGTTAAAGCTCATTAACTATTTTAATAACATTTCAAATAATAACAAGGTCCTTTTGGGTTGGCCTCATCACCCAAATAGCATAAGGAAATTGGGATAAATATGTTGTTAATTTATTAAGGAATTAATACATTAACTGGAAATTATTTTGGTAATTAATTAAAATGTTTTAATTAATTAAAGGGATTGAATATTAAATAATGAATAGGATTAATTAGAATATTCTGTAAGCCTCTGGAGAGCCTATAGGGGACAATTTCAGTATATCCCTGGATAGGGATATGGCTAATTTGAATCAGATAAGGATTAACCCTAGAGTTTGAATAATTTTAGGATTCTATCTACAACCTATAAACCCTAGTTTGGGTTTCTTCTTTTTGTTTTTGGTGTTGTAGGTCTTATTCCATTAGAGGGGAGCTACATTGGATCCTTCTTTCATAGCAACAAACCGGAAGTTACGAGATCACAATCAAGCAATCAAGAGTTTAGTAGTTATTTCTTTTGTTGATTTATAAAGTATGTTGATATAACTAGTAAAACCTAGATTATAGGATGCATGCACAGTTAGGTAAATCCATTGATTTTTTCTGTTATCTTAGACAATATACTTGATGCTAATAATCTCCAACAGTAATGTCTATATCACTGTATTTGTATAGTTAAGTACTCATCATATTTATATAATTAAGTGCTCCATCATATTTATATAATTAAGTAGTCACCATACTTTTAAATTAAATAGTCAACATATGCAACAATTAAGTTCTTACCATATCCTAGTAATAACTTTCTAACCATATTTGAAAATTTATGTTCTCACCATATTTGAAAATTTAAGTTATAGCCTTAATTCACACTTATAGTATATTTCATACTTAATGCATAATAAAAGTAAGTCATAAAAGGCATGCTATTAATATATATTATGTATATACCTTTAATTATGTGTATGTATTTATATACCTTTAATTATGTGTATGTATCTATATCTAAATGTTTTCATATATACTTATATGTTGTCCTACATACTTGATAAGTCACGGAACACCTACAAATTAGAAATTAAGTAAGGTTCCATTATTAAATCATATCAAATCACTAAAGTAGGACATATAATCTAATTGTTCCTAAAAAAATCT